AAAAAAAAAAAAAAAAAGAATTGGATAATTTTTTTATCACTCAAAGTGAGATCTTCAATAAGGGATGATGAGAGCGGTGGATATTTTGGCTTTGGTATTCACATTTCGACCATTCAAATCACAAAAAAAAAGTTGAAAGTGTTCCTTTCATGTCGCCTCCCCCAGTTCTGATAAAAGCATTGTTATGACTTGCCTGTACATCCATCATAATTTTTAATTGACGTTTTTAGTGTTTTTCCATTTATGTTATGAGGGAGCGGTGGATCTAGACACAATACAAGATATAAACGATCGCCACGGTATGGAAGTACAAATTATGGAATTCGGGCAAATTCCAAAGCAAGTTTTTACTCTGCCACATCCGAGTCGATTCGCCTCCGCTGCAAGTTTATCCTGTGATATTCCGTTGAGCTGTCCATTGATCGTATCCGGGGGACAACGTACTGACTATTTTATAAAAAGCCCATTTGTCGCTTTCTCTAAGAAATTCTACTAAATTTCTGTTGAAATATTATTGAAAGATTCGATTTGTTTTTTGTGTCAAGTCCATTAAAATTATGCAACGCCCCCGCGTTTTTAAATCAGTAGCGAAGTGGTAAAACGGTTCAAGTCGACTTATCTCTTGAGTTTTTGAAGAATATCTCCGAATCTAAAGGAGATAGCGAAATTTTCGTAATAACCTTTTTTCCCGAGCAAATTGAGTGCTACAAAAAAGGTCTCAACAAAAATTTAGCTATGTCCCTTAGATTCCGAGATATTCACTGAAAACTGGCCAATAGTCAAAATCGAATTTAACCGTTTTACGACTTCGCTACTGAAATAGATATTTGTTTATAAAAAATATCTATAGCTATTCATTTTTCTATAAGATTTCTTGGGGACGATTTCTATGAGTTTCTTTTTTTTGATTTTATCATGAAAACAATAAAAATACAGCGGAAAAAACTTGAAAAATTTATGCCAAAGAATTTCTACAGAAAAAAGAAAATCTATTCACTCTTTCTCTCAAAATTTTTTTAATGAAATGGCGCGAAAAAACAAAGAAATTTTTAATAGAATTCTGATAGAACTTCAAGAGAATTTCTTAGAGAAAACGCTAGGGTTTTCCATTAATTTTTGTCATGCGTGCTAGTATATGAAAGACAAATTAACTTTTTAGGGATCAGTAAAGAGAGTTCGACATTTGAGTTGAAACAATCAGTGATATTCCCCTCCCACAAAGAGACGATATCCACGATTATTCAGATGAATGGGGATGGAAGTGATATTGCTTCAGTCGGTCATGATGGGGTTCTGAAGATATATTCCCTGACGAATCAGAAATTGACCAGAAGCATTTCGCTTTCAAATTTACCACTCTCTTCTTGTATTTTCTATCAAACGAAGAGTGGACAGAATGTACTGGTCGTTGGCTCTTGGGACAATAGTTTGTGAGTACTCGTTCGAATATAATGACGCCATTAAATTTTTTTGTCATTGGTCAAAACCAATCAATCAATCAATTAATTTTGAAAATTGAATTTTGAAAATTTTGTCTTAAAAAACTGAGGCTTTGAAAATTTTCAAAATTCCATAAGAATGATAATAACAAAGAATTAATGATTTTTGTTGGATCCTTCGGTGAATCACAGGATTTTTTACGACGTAGAATTTGGAAGAATAATCGACGTTCTCACTGGGCATGAAGATGCCGTTTCAAGTTTAGCGTGGAGTCCCTCCAGGAACATTATTGTTTCTGGATCGTGGGACTGCACAATTAAAATTTGGCACAGCTATGTTTCGGGGTTGAAGATTAAGCTCCAGGAGAGCCTCATTGCCCAATTGGATCATGAATCGAAAATCACGTGTCTCAGCATTTCGAGGTACGACTTATTCGTATTTTGAGAAGAACATAATCCAGAATAGTAAAATGTCATTTCTCCTAGCATTATATTTTTAATACACGTATAAAAAATTTAATAGAAAAATTAGTGATTTCTTGAAGGAATTCTATTGAATTTCTACTGGACTTCTATTCAAAAATTCCGTTTGTTTTTCCTCTAATTCTATTGAAGATTATGAATTTTACTCTGACGTTTTGTCAAGAGATATTTGAAAACAAAAATCAATAAATTTTGATTTTTCTAGAAATTCTTCACATGAATTTTCTGATTTTTTCCCCTATGTATTTTCATTTATTTCTCAGAATAAAATTAAAAAAAAGAATATTATTGTTCAAGAATTCTTATGGAAATAATCCTCATAGAATAAGTTGTACTAAATAATCAACATCTACATAATTTTTTTAATGAACAAATATCTATTGAAAAACGCACGTGAAACTCACATAATGTTTACTAGAATTTGCTCTAAAAACAAATAGAATTCTCATAGAATTCCAATAGAAATTCACAAGAATTTTTAAATTTTTTTATACGTGTTATCACGTAAATTTTTCAATAGAGATGAAAGATTGCTGGCCTCTGGCACAGAAGACGGAGAGATTTGCGTCTGGAATATGGATTCTTATGATCTAGAGTTTTCTGTCAAAGGTGAGAAGACAATGCAATTGTGGTTTTGCAAACAATTTTTTTTATTTCCATAAACAATTAAAAACAGGCAATTGGAAGCGTTTTCATCATGATGTAATGATGTGGGCGTTTTTTCAATCGGTTGTACCTCCCCAACTTTTTAAAAATCTTTTTCTTTAATTAAACATTTATTTATAATTTAACATACAATGTCATGAGTATAATTTTGTCAAGGACACGGAGGGAAAGTAACTGCCACAACATTCGATTCAGAATGTAAAAATATCATTGCTTGTACAAACGATAAGACAATAAATGTCTTCGATGCCAAGACGAGCACTCGCATATACAGTACGTTGTTGGAGGATGGACCAACGGTTCTCAGTTGGTCTGGCTCAATTTTACTCGTTGGAGATGACAAAGGCAATGTCAATCTGTGGGACTCTCAGGAAGCAACTTTTCTGGCGAAAACACTCTGTCATGACGGTAACAATAATCTCTAAATTAAGGTGCGAGTATCATTCTCCAAACGTCCTCCCCGAGTTTTTTATTATTTTTGTTGAAAATGGAAACATTCAATAGAAAAGCCCATCCACAAGAAAATCCAATTGAATTTCTATTGGAAATTCTTGCAATTTTTCACTGATTGATTAAAAAATTCCTCAACTTTTATGTGTATTTTCAATCGAAGTGTTCAATGGAAAATATTCTATGGGAGAAATCAATGATGTTTACATAGAATTTCTTCGGCTGAGATTGTTTCTGTAGAAATTCCTTGGTTCAGATTTCCTTGATTTGTTTTTTGCTCAATTTTTTTGATGAAAAATAAAATACTGAAAAAAAAACAGAAATTCCGTAGAATATCTTCGAATCCAAGGGAGATAGCGAGTTTTTCGTAATGACCTTTTTTGTAGAGCGGATCAAGGGCAACAAAAAACGTGATGACAAAAATTTTGCTATCTGCCTTAAATTCCGAGAAATTCATTGAAAACTGGATAACAGTCAAAATCGACTGTTTTGAAGCTTCGCTACTAAATTTATGCCGAGTAATTTTCTATGGACAACATCTCGACAAAATAAGTTCTTTGACAGATCAAAATCTTTCAATTTTTTTCTCTACAAATTTTCAAACTGAAAATTTCCAGTTAATAAAACACAAAAAATTACGAAATTAGATAAAAGTTAATAAATGATACACCCACATCTCCACAATTTCTTCGATTCATCATACGATCATTAATGAATTTCAGGGCCATTGACAGCAATAACAACCACCATCGACAATAATAAAATAATAACTGGGGGTAACGATAGGCGAATAATCGTGTGGAACTGTGATTAGCATTGGTAATGGTTAAATGTTCATCGTATTAAATTTCATATTATTGTTCCGAGGAAACTGAAGGATATCAACTTGAAATTCTAAGGGTAACATTGGTTGAAGAAAATAAAACGTATTATTTTTTACACAACAGGTGTTGTCTAACATTACGTATTTCTTTTTATTAGTATTAAATAGATTTTTTGATAAGTTACTCTCTCAACAGGTACCCTTGCTTCTTCACTCTTAGACAGTAAGATTTGTTCACAGTAGAGGTAATTTTTTCAATTGCTCGTAGGTGATGAAGAATATGATGTTCCAAGGTCCCATTCGTAGGAACGTTGGGACGAAGCCTTTGTACAGCGCGAAAAATCCTTCGTTTGCACATGTCTGTCATTGAAAAATTAGGGTCCATATTAGTCTGTTGTGGATATTATTATTGGCTGGTTGTCTACTACAGTTGATTCTAATTTGAGAAAAAGTGGGGGGATATAGTCGTTTTCTCCGCATTCTTCTACATAAATTGAGAATAAAAACAACTCGATGTCTTCTTTAGTTATTTTTTCAACTGATTTGATTGTGAATGAACTCTCTGAAGATTTCCTAGCATCAAATCGACACGGTTAGAAAACATATTGAAAAAATTAAAAGGAAAATTCGTTAGAAAATTATATTGAATTTCTATTGAACTGTTCTATTAGTTTTTAGCCGATTCTATTGAAATGTTCAATAGAAAATATTCAGTACAAAAAGTCAATAGAATTCAATTTTTCTACGTAACTTATTCTATTGAGATATTTCCTACAGAATTTCCTCGGCTCAAATTTTCTAATTTTTTTCGTTTGATTTTCTTGATGAGAAAAAAAGAAAAATAGAATGAAAAAAAAATGGAAAATTTGAGTCGAGCAAATTCTATAGAAAATATATGATAAGAATAAGTTATATAGAAAAATCGAATTCTGTTGACTTTTTCTATTGAACATGTCAATAGAATCAGCGAAAAACTAGTAGAAAGTTTAATAGAAATTCAATGGAATTTTCGAACGAATTCGATAGGTTTTTCTATTTAATTTTTTCGTGCGTGAAAAATTGAGAAATTTAAAACTTCACTGAAAATTGAGTGGAATTCCGAATTTTTTGCTGCATAACATGAGTTACGATGAATTTTCGATCAATTGAAAATTTATGAACATGTCTACCTGAATTTTTCAGATGTTCATGAATTTTTATTTAGTAATTGAACTGAAATTCAAATTTTGATTGATTTGTTCATCAAATTGTGAATTTTTAATGGCGAAATTTTTTGGCATTTCAGTGGAACTGTAACGTGGTAAAAATTTCCAATAAGTGAACCCAAAATGTCACATTTTTCTCCATTTTTATCAATATTTTTGGCGTGATGGACAAGCAGGTTGAATTGATGTTAAGATATGATCAATGAAATTGGGGCTGTTGAAGGTATTTACCTTGATGAAACAGTCTATACTTCCTTTATAAATATACGGACATAGAGCTCCATTGGAGGTAAGCGTTCGCCTTTGGTTCATTAGTCGCGTCTGGTACAGGAAAAAATCACATTGACATTAACGAATGGGTTTAATGATCCAGAAGGGGGAAACTATATAGTTTCAATGAGTAATTTACTATTTCTCTATGTCACAACTCACTCGAATGACGTCTATAGGTGTGGAAGCTATGGCACTCGCCATACTAGCTGTAGTGCTGGAACTGAATAAAAAAAAGGTTTATAGTTTTTGAAACTACACGCATGAAAAAATTCAATAGATGAAATTGAATCCATCGATTTTTTTTGGAATTCTGTAAGAATTCCCCTGAAGTTTTATTGGAATTCTATTAAAAAATTCGATTTTTTTTGCACTATTTTTGTTGTATTGATTTGTTGAGAGACATTTTATAGAAGAAAACCAATAGATTTTGATTTTTCTATAGAAATTCTTGGGAATTAATTTTCCAATTTTTTTTCCGATGTATTATTATTTATTTCTCATAATAAATTCGAGAAAAAATCTGAAAAATCATACCCAAGAATTTATTAAAAAATCCCAACAGCATACGTTGTATAGAAAAATCTAAATTTATAGACATTTTTCTGCAAAGACATATCTATTTAGAAAGTAACTAAATATTTTTTAATAGAATTGGCGCAAAAACAAATAGAATTTTCCAATAGAATTCTAATAAAAATTCAATAGAATTTCTCGGAGAAACCACTAGTTTTTTTATCAAATTTCCTTATACTCGTAAAGATGAGAATCGGTGTTGATTATCGTTTTACGGAGTATCTACTCACATAAAGTGGTTGCCGACACCGTCGCCAATTCGCGGGATCAGCTGCTGTTTCGTGAAATCGTATATTGGGAGTTCTACCGCAGCTATGATTGCGGCTCTCTGCGCGGTGGGTCCTACCCCCTGATGGAAATTCATTGAAAATTCGCGTCAATCATTTGGTGATTGTTCGTTGGGAATTACAGACATTTTGTTTTGCGATTTCTCTTGAGGATATTCTAATTAAATTGTGTGTATTCAGCGTCATTCAAATTACATTTTACACAGAATTATTATTTTTTTAAACATTCGTTGTTTATAAATAAATTATGGAAATTGTTTAAACTTCAGGAAAACTGTTTTCTCAGGCATTAAATCGATTTCTGGTAGGATTCTGAATATGAATAAATTTTTACGATTCAGAAAAAAAATCGAATGATTTTCGAAAAATTCGAATCATTTTTACGGTGGAAAATTGATTGTTTATAAATTATTTATACAAAATGCTCGTAATTTTAAAAAATTGTGATTTTTAATTATTCAATTAATCTTCCTCCATTAAAAAAAATGTTTCCTAACGGTTCAACATCAAGATTCAAATCCAGACCTGCACAGTTTAAATAATAATTATTGTAAAATTATTTTACCACTTAACGGGGCTCACATGAAAGCTCTGATGTTCGACAATAAAAGTAGAAAAGCATTTCGCTGGAGAAAAAAATCGCCAAAGCACTTGGATATCCTCAAAACTGCCAAAAATCTCTCCACGGCATAAAAAAAATTCTAATCATCTCCTTTTTCCAAGCGAAATCGCAGTACAAAATTCATCACACATACGCACACCCCACACCCAGTGTGTTTTCTAAAGTAACACGAAGCGAATGCTAGGATATGTTAATTATCCTCTAACAGTAAATGAATCCCAGTAACGATTTGATTAAGTGATTTTACCCGCCATAAACCGCGTACACCTTCATGTTGATAAACGTCGTGGAAGCAACCATATAATGAAAGATTAGTTTCATTACCACTGACTTGCATACGAACTTTCACCACATCAGTTGGATTAGCAATAGCGCTCGATATAGATCCAGCTATTGCAGCACATACAACATTTATAAGCACTAAATCATCGGTTCCCCATTTTTCAGTTGCCAGCTGTTTGATTGAGTAGTATGTGCCAAACTTTATTGTTCCGTACGTCGCCTGCCTCAGTATTGCCGAGCTGATCCTAGGGTGGGAAATAACGAGAAACAAAAAGGAGAAATTTCTCAAAAGAAAAATTTTAATTTCTTTGGCTGCACGGGAAAGTGAATGGACTCATTCAGTGCAGGAAAACAAAACGAATTTTTTAATTCAATCGAAAAGTGCAGAATGGCAATTCATAAAGTGACGACTCGGATTCTACTGTTATGAAATAGACTGATGGCCATTGGTTGATGAATGAAAATTGCTCATCCACAATGTGAGTGAAAAATCGATGAAAATCGATCACTACGCAGTTGCACAAAATTTTTTATCCCTACGCGTGTGGAGGAAGTTAATAGAAAATCCTCCGCTTTCTGTGAGAAATTCTATTGGAATTCTATTGAAAGATTCTGTTTGTTTTTTGCGCTTATTCTATTAAATTAAGTAATGCAACGTATCCTCACGTTTTAAAACAGATATTTATTAATAGAAAAATGTCTATAGATTTTTATTTTTCTGTAAAACTTATTCCGTTAAGATCTTTAATATACGAATTTTTGCGCCCGATTTTTTTTTCTCTTGGATTTTATAATAAACAATAGATGAAAATATAGCGGAAAAAATTGGAAAATTTATGCCGAAGAATTTCTATAGATAAATCAAAATCTTATGACTTCTTTCTATAAAATATCTCTTGAGAAAATAACACGGTAAAGTTGCATAATCTCCCACAGGAGTAACCAAAACAAAAAAAAATAGAAATAGAATAGAATAGAAATAGAATTTCTTAATAGTATTCTAATAATACAAGAGAATTCTTTTAGACAAAAAATTATACCGTTATTATATTGTTATTATCATTTTGTTAACATTATTATTATTATTGAAAAATAATATTAAAAATAATAATTATTATTATAATTATTTTAATTATAGGTTTAAAATTTATGCCTTAAAATATCTAAAGTTTAACCGAGTAAATAGCCCAGGGGATAATATAGAATATGAATATTATAAGAGATATTTGATAAAAACAAGTCAATAGATTTTTATTTTTTCACTGAAAATTCATAAACAAAAACATTCCAAATTTCCAAATTTTAATCAAAAAGCTTACAGTCATAATAAAATCAAAGAACAAAAAACTTGAAAAAATCACGCCCAAGAATTCTTATTGAAAAAAATCCTAAAGTTATGTAGAAAAATCAACATCTCTACATTTTCCTAGGAACGAGTACCAAATTAAAAACGCGGCGGGCGTTGTACAAAATTCTAAAAAATTCTCATAGGATTTCTTAAAAAGTTCTACATTTTTCTATCAAATTTTTCCACACGTGTGCGCCAAAAAATTTTGCGGAACTCTTTACGCTAATAATGAAACGAATAGGCAGGGAAAACGGTGGAACAGCCCAATCGCCTGAACCCTATCAACTGTTTATTTGAACGAATTCACTGTGCGCAAAATCAACAGCACGAATCAAGCTCAGTCACCGCGTAAGCGTCATTTTTTAATTACCTGGGGTAACAATTGAAAAAACAATACCCGGAGACAATGGCTCGAGACCAAGTTCATCGGCAAAATGTTCATTCATATAATATAGTGCAAGTGTATGTTTGTGCGCAAATATAGTGTCAAACGGTGCACATTCCCAGCATGTGTAGGGGAGTAAATCACGGGAGACAGTGCAAATTGACTGGAAAAGGCAGACTCACCCACAGTACAACGATTTGACTCCTTCCTGTCTAGAAATTTGGACTAGTGCATCTGTCATGCCAGAGTACCTCAAGGTCGCATGTTTCTTATCTAATTTTTGCCCTTGAATTTGGAGTCTCGTTTTTGTGGTGTCCAGTGGAAAAGTACCTGCGGAATATGATAATATTTATTGAAAATTATGGGAAATTATTTCACGTATGAGAAATTTTTTATTTTTATTTTATTTTATTTTATTTATTCACTTTTCAAAGTCAGAAAGCCATTTAGGGCTTTTCTAGGGAATTCTATTGAATTTCTATTGGGATTCTATTAAAAAATAATATTTTTTTTTGCATTAATTCTGTTGAAGATTATGCAATTTAACCCGTTCATTTTGTTAAGAGATATTTACTCGAAAAAAGTTAATTGATTTCGATTTTTCTCTAGAAATTCTTGGCCATAAATTTACCGTGTTCTTTTTCCATGTATTTTCTTTTTTTTTTCTCATAATGAAATCCAAGGGAATGAAACTTAGAAAATTGTTATTTAAAAATTCTCATGGATAATAATCTTTGATGAATCTCGACGAAAACATTTCACTTGGCAACACCCCAGTTTTTGTCTATTTTATTTATTTATCTATTTATTTCGTATCTATTTTTAATGAACAACACGATGAATTAATCACAAATAAGATAGATAAAATAATCGAGAAATTATTGAGCGAATGTTAAATATGTTTAATTGTCTTATTCTTTTGCATTGACAATTGACAACTGAAATAGCATCATATAATCATTTCACCAAAATTCCATATCGTAATAATAAAAATTGTGGAATGATGAAACTCGACGAATGAATTTCTCTTGGCAACACTCCAATTTTTGCAAAATATCTCCAAATCCAAGAGAGATAGCGAAAATCTCAATTAGACCTTTTTTCTAGAGAATTTCACTGCCTTCAAACAAGGTTCTTATGAAAATTTCCCTATCCCTCCTAAATTCGGAGATATCCACGAAAAACGTGACCTCAAGCTATTCTGATTCGTCTCGTTCCACCACTTTGCCACTGAAATGACTCATTTTTCAATCACCAGAAACACGATAAATTAATTGAAGATTAATCGATAAATTCATGAATTCTCACCTAGCTCTGCAATTATCGAGGCAACACCTCCGTAAATAAATGGACTCCAACCCAGCGGTTTTCTCTCTCCCATCACAATTATTTTCCTCCAGGTGATCCTGAATAATCGAAATAACAATTAAACTTGTAACAATAACGATAAACTTACAAAAATAATTTTCTGGAGTGTTTTGAGTCACTTTTAAGGTTAATATCTCAACATATTTCCAAAATTATTACGTTAATGCGCGTAAATTTTCCCGGATAATTGTTCTTTGACGATAAAATCATGAGTGATGAGGTAAACATACTTTTACTGCTGAGTATCAAGATAAAGCAAAATAGCGAATATTGTTTATTGCTGGACAGTCGTCACTCGAACGCGGTTTTTCCTTTTTGATTTCTCCCCCCAATTCCCCACCCGCCCCGGGGATTCGTGACGCAATGATGGAATACAGCCTTTATTGACACATCTCCGTACGACGGCGGCGGGTTGGGGGGAGGGGGGGTAATA